GTCAAGGTTGTACGGTTTGCTTGCGGGTTGCAAGTGCTTGCGGTTTTGCAAGTGGAAATAGTGGAGAAATCTCAAGCGAGGCTTGGGGACTGGATGTAGGTCTGGAGGACCGAACCAGTATAAATCCTTGTGTTTGCGTATGCAATTTTCTGTGATTGTCTACACATTGGTTTGATCTTTCTTACTCTTTGTGATATTATTTTATTGAAATTTAAAGTTTCCGCATTAGATTTCATAAACACTATTCAACCCCCCTTCTAGTGTTTGAGTGCCATTGCAGCGATCCTTCATATTGCTTATCCTAGCTCATATATATTGTTGCATTTCATACTTGCTAGGATAACTTGTTAATTAATTTTAATTGGCATTTAAATCGGATTAGATTAGCATAAGACCCTAATCACCCTCCCTCTAGGGTCTAACAATCAGCATTGACTGTTTTTATCAAAAAATCTGCTAGGTTATATTTGGTGTGAATTTTTCACATATCCACTGTTATTTCTTCCACTTTCTCACGAACAAAGTGATATTGAACTCGAATGTATTTTGACTTTGAATAAAAAACTAGATTTCTTACCAAATGCAAAGCACTCTGATTATTACAAAACAGAGAAATCTTTTTTGTTCATGCTCGAGTTCCTCCAGTATCAATTTTAACCATATTGCCTCTTTACTAACTTATGTAGCTACTATATATTCTGCTTCTATTATTGATATAGCCATAACTGACTATAGTTTTAAAACCTAGCTCACAGCTCCGCCAGCAAGTGCAAACACATAACATGTGGTGGATTTACTATTATCAAGGTCACCTGCAATCAGAATCAACATATCCATTAATAATAAAATCTGATCCCCATAACATAATGCAATATTTGAGGTTTCATTAATGTATCTTAGGACCCTCCTACAATATTTCAATGCTTTTTATCAGGATTCGCCACGTTTCGACTAACTACTCTTACTGCTTGTATAATTTCCAGTCTTGTACAAATCATAGCAAACATTAGACTTCCTATTACTGATGCATACGATACTCGAGACATCTCCATCCTCTCTTCTTCATCACTAGGACTCATAGTGGAGAATAACTTAAAATTAACAGGAAGTATGGTAGAAATTAACTTACAATCTTTCATATGGAAGCGTTGTAATATTTTCTTAAAATAATTCTTCTGATAAAGTCAAATATGTCTATTAATTTTGTCTCGGTAAATTTGCATCCTTTAAATATTATTTACAGATCCTAAATATTTTATTTTAAATTCCCTAGTAAATTGTACCTCTAATTCTTTAATACGATCTTTGTTGGGGCCTGCAATCAACATATTGTCAACATACAACAATAAGATAACAAAGTTATTTTCACCAAACCTCTTGAAATATGCACAAGGATCTGCATTAAGTTTGTTGTATTTAAGGCTCGTGATGAATGAATCAAATCTCTTATACCAACACCTCGACACCTGCTTTAGATCGTACAGAGATTTGTTTAACCTGCCAATCAAGCTCTCTTTTCTTTTTTTCGAAACCTTCTGGTTGGAGCATATAAATTTCTTCTTCAAAATCTCCATGAAGAAAAGTTATTTTCACATCTAACTACTCTAGACATAAGTCAAATATAGCACTCAGAGTAAGAACTACTCGGACTATTGTAAGTCGAACTACAGGAGAAAATATTTTATTAAAGTAAATACCTTCTTTCTAAGCATATCCTTTTACCACCAATCTAGCAAGATATCGCTCCACTTGATCGTCGTCATTTTACTTGATCTTATAGACCCATTTATTTTCAACAGTCTTTCTTCATTGTGGTAGTGACACCAGTACCCAAGTCTTATTCTTATGGAGAGCTTTAATTTTTTCCTACATTGTTGTCATTCACAAATATGCATCTATGATGTTTATAATTTTATGGAAAGTTGATGGCTATCCATCCTCTGTTAAAAGATAGTATGCAACATTACTCTCCGTAATATACTCCGAATGTCAGGTCGGTGGTCTTCTCACACGAGTTGACCTTCGAACTTCTGGAGCTTTGGACTCAACTGGTTCTTGTACATCATGCCCCGATGTTGCTTCAGAAAAATTTAGATTATTTTCTACCTGAACAACTATAGTCTCTGAGTTCTTCCTTAAACAAATTTCTTTCTCTTCACTTTGTAGTTGATTATCTATAAAGATAATATCATTGTTGATGATAATCTTGTGGGTAACGGGATCCCATAAGCAATACCCCTTTACTCCGTCAGTATACCTCAAGAATATGCATTTTCTAAATTTTGAATCTAGCTTTGTAATTTCTTAGGTATTGTAAATTACATACATTGGACTTCCAAATATATGGAAGTTGGAATAATCGGTTGGCTTTTCGGTCCACATCTCCATCAACGTCTTTAACTTTATTATGGTTGATGAAGATCGATTCACCACATAACATGTGGTTTTTACTGCTTCCGTCCAAAAGACTTTATTCAGATTTGCAGTTGTCAATATTGCTCTTGTTCTTTCCAATAGAGTTCTGTTCATTCGCTCCATAACTCCATTTTGTTGAGGAGTATATGCAGTACTAAATTGTCTTTTGATGCCTTCTTGCTTGCAGAATGTAAAAAATTCACCGTCTGTGTATTCTCCTCCATTATCTAACCTCAAGCAATTGATCTTCTTTTCAAATTCAAGCTCGACTCGTGCTTTGTAAGGTTTAAAGACTGAAAACACATCTGTCTTATTCTTGATAGGGTACACCCAACATCTCCTAGATAATCATCAATAAAAATGCAAAGTATTTTGCTCCTCCCATGGATGTAACTGGTGCTTGCCATACATCAGAATGAACTAGTTTCAAAATAGCCTTACTTTTAAAACTCGATGTGTTAAACTTCAGCCGATGTTGCTTACTTGTAACATAATGCTCGCAGAAGAGAAGATCTACTAATTTGAGGGCAGGAAGTAGCTTCTGATCGGAGAGAGTCTTCAAGCATCGTTCTAACATGTGGCCTAGTTTACGGTACCACATCATGGTTTGTTCTTCTCCACAGCTTCTGCAAGGTTTCTCTCTTCAGCATGTCTAAATTTACAGCTATTTTTTTCTCTCTTTATCACAATAAACGCCCCTCTAACAATTTGTATTATCCTATTTTCTATATAAGTTTTGCATCCAAGCTCATCCAATTGTCCTAAAGACAATAAATTTTCTTCAAGGCTTTCACATGTCGTAGATCTTGAATGGTGCGTATTGTACCATCAAATATTTTAATTTTAATAGTACTAATACCAAAAATTTTTAAGGCATGACCACTGAGATAGGTTCATATTTGTGAAACTAATCTCTATGGAAGGTTATGTGTCAGGAGACTGCTGAATCTAAAACCCAAACATCAGCAAATCTCTTTCTGTCTTCATCAACAGTGGTTGGTCCAATGTATAAAATTTCACCATCGTCTGATGTGATTACGATGCATCCTTGAGATGTTGATGGCTCTGAAGATTTTTTATCACCACTCTTCTTATTGTGCCAACACTCCGATTTCACCTGTCCTCTTTTGCCACAGTTGTAGTATTTGATATTCTTCTTACTTCTTGATTTTGATCTACCATGGGTATGACTTCCACTGGAGCCACATTCAGTTGATCTTCCTCTCGTCACTGACGAGGCCTTCGCTTGTTGTGAACTTGTCTGCCAGTCTTCCTTATTCTTGCGCCAATTTTCTTCCTCTAGAACGGCTGCTGCAATGTCGCCGAAGACTAGATAATCCGTGAGGACGTTATTTATTAGATTGACGATGAGTTGATCATACAAATCAGGTAGACTTTGAAGTAGAAGCTCTGCATGTTCATTCACATCGATTGTTTGTCCCAAATTTGTAAGTTGGGAGAATAGTGTGTTTAGGGTGTTGATGTGGTCGGTCATCGATGTAGATTCCGTATCCTCAGAATGTAAAGTCTTCTTTATAAGAAGATTTTATTGGGCGAGGATTTGACCTCATATAGGTTTGTTAGAGTATCACAGATCTCCTTCGCTGTTTTCTTCTCCTCTATGTTTGACAGTACCTCATCTACTAATGCCAGATAGAGATTAGCAATAGTATTCTTGTTCATCTTGCTCCACTTCTTATCATCTATGATGTTTTTCGGTTTTGTACCGATGGCCACTAGACAATTATCTTTTCTCAAAATAGCATTTATCTTTAACTTTCACAGTGAGAAATTACTCTCATTGAATTTCTCAATCTTGAACTTCGCCGTCATTGCTTCTACTACGAATGGTAACTTCTACTATTTCATGTAAATAGTAACCGTACTTGTAAACAGTAACCGTACTCATGAATAGTAACTGTACTTGTGAGTAGTACCGTACTCTTGAATAGTGCCAGTGCTTTCAAAGGGTAAATAATAATCCAACTTATTTTCTGATGTGGATGATCCACTTTTAGTGGCAGTCACAGAGCATATATACGATAAGCAGATACATGCACCCTAAGTCAGGATCTGATACCACTTGTTGAGATAAACTCAGGGCTCAATAGAGTAGGATCCTAGCGAATAGTAGAATAATGAACACACAGATTTACATGAAAAACCCCCTAAATAAATTTGGGGTAAAAACTACGAGCAAAAATAGAAGACTCCACTACGAGAAAAAACTTTAGAGTTACAATCTCTCTTTATAATGAAAAACTTTTTTTTATTTTTTTTCTCACTTTTCTATATATGGAGTTGTTGTTGTTTCTGTGATAGATTTTTACTAAAAAATTTTGGGCCTATTTGTAGCAGTTCGGAAAATGCTATTAATAAATTTTTAGTAATTTTTTTTAATCTTTTCTCAAAACGATGCCTAACCTCACTTTTAGTGAGTGATTTGAGAACAATTTTGGCTGACATTTTACATGTGTATTCATCCGAAACTATACGCTCTTTAACAATTTTATATTCAATTTCTTTCCAATCAATATATGCCTAAAACTTCACATTTCTAGCACGTGCATCATCGTTTACCATGCTATATATATTTCAGTTCTGGAAATTATTCATTTAAATTTTACAATAGTTGGCCCGAAACGAACCAAACCATTTCACTCTGAAAGATAAATACAAGAATCCCCAGTACGTTCTCCAAATCATTTCACTGTGACAACACTGATACAGACTTCATTCCTCCCTGAGAGCAGAGTAAAAAGAAAAAAAAAAGAAAAAAAGAATCACTTATTATACACACGCGCAATGAAATATTAGCTCATATCTGTAAAAAGTATAGTTCGGAAAAAAAAAAAGATAACAAAATTACTTGAGCGATTGAGCCTTCTTTCTCGCCAAGAACATGACGATCCTCGGAAAGAACGACTTCTTCCTCCTTTGCTTCGATTCAGGCACCGAGTGCCCCGCGTAAAGGTCTGGGCATGATACTGAATTGATGCGGAGAGGAGCTTCTCCTGAGCTCGTGTTAGGATCTGAGCTCCCCGGAGGACTCCCGAGATGAGAAGGCACAGCATCACTTGCTCTCCTTCGCTGCTCGTTACTAGCTCTCCAATCCCTTAACTCTTGCTCCGCTGCCATTTTCCCTTCGCTTGCTTTATCTGCCATTTCAACCGCCACCTTTAAATCCTTCTTCTCCTCTTCCAACTGTTTGTTCACTTCCTCCAGTCTTTCCAAGCTCGTCTGCTCACAAATTTTTGCCTGCTTTATTTTCTCCACCGCGGATATTACCCTCCCGCTGGCCGATTCTTCAGCGTCGTGGGCTTTTTTACTAAGCGCGTAGTACTCTTCCAATTGGAGTGTCACTTGATCATCAGAGTCTATCTCATCAGCAGCGTTTGCGTTTGCGTTTTTCTTCGCGTCGCTCTCTATCATGGTTTTCACCGCTGCAACCGCTAAGGCCTCGGAAGCATTTGCAGCCTCGATCTCCTTGAGGGTAGCAAGGAGCCTTGTCTCCATCGTGATTGCACCTGCCTTGGCTTGTTCTGCTTCTTCTTTAGCTCTCCGTAGCTCTTCACGTGCCAAGTCTGCAACTGACTTAGCTTGACCAGCGTCGACGTTTGCTTGCTGAACTAATTTTGGGAGATGTTCCATTTTTTCTCTAGCTTCTTTCTCCTTTGTTAAAACTAGTTCGAGCTCTGATTGCGTTCGGGTTAATTCTGCTTCAAGAGATGAGACTGTTACTGATGAAACTCCTTCTCTTTGTCTGAGGGTAGTCAAGGCTTCGCTTTCTCGATCCAGCTCAGCTTTAAGAGATGAAGCTGCCTCTTTTAGGAAGTTAATTTCTTCTTTTGATTTCTGGATGGTTATCTTCACCTCCTCGAGCTCTTTCTTGGCTGAAGCTAGTTCTGAAGTAACTGAATCTTGGGTTTCACCTGTTTCATTCATTTTTCCTTCCATGTAAAATGCTAGCTCAGTTTTCAGGTTCATTAACATAATAGTTGCATTTTCGAATTTGGTCTTGAGATCTTCGATTGATGCTTGCTGATCGCTGAGTTTCTGAAATTCCTTGTTTGCTTGATTCAATTCATTCTCTTGAACAAGCAATTCTTGATCTCTCGCTGCAGCTAAAGCAATCCTACGCTCCTCTACTTCGAGATGAGAAGCATGTGCTGATTCTAGAGCTTCCTTGATGCTAATAAGCTCGAGAGTTAGGTCTTCTGTCTTCTTATCGGCATCCTTTGCGATTGAAACAGCCTTGTCAGCTTTTTGAACCGCAAAATTTCTCTCGGTGAGTAACCGACTATGATCACCCTGGAGTGATTCTAACTCTAACTTAACTGTTCTTAGTTCCTCGATCGCTGCCTGGTGTCTTGCTTTTGCTACCTCGACTTGAGCTTTTGCTGCTGCGCTTGATTCAGAGGAGATGCCTTGCTCCATCTCTTTGACTCTGAGTTGGGCGAGCTCAGAGTCTTGCTTGGCTTGAGCTTCTTCTGTCTCGGTTTTCTCGAGGCTGTCTTTGAGCTCTTCGATGAGTTTCTTTGTGCTGTCGAGTTCTTCGAGGACTTGGCCTTTGGCAATTTGGGCTGATTCTGATTTCTTCTTGTATTTTGGGATGTCCTCTTGTATCTTCTCTAGTTCACTTTGGATGTGTGTGCTCTTCTGCAATATGATAGAATGAACTTCTTACATATTCATGTTAGTAAGTCATGGTATCTGTTAGATATAGATTATATACATTGGTGCATGTACAGTTATACATACATCTAAGTTTCTTTGCGTAGGACTTTTTGTGTATGTCGTTTTTTTTTCTCTCTCTCTTGTAGAACATTCTATATATAGTCTACAATGCTGTGCATAAATACAGGTACCCCAAGAAACATCTTTCTCAATTCTTGACATAATCAAATAGAAATGAATTTTCATTTGCGGAGTTTGACTATGAAGTTTAATAATGAAAATCTTATTAAATTTGGACAATTTTGCTTCTTCTTCATTAATATGAATTTTGGAAAAAGATTCATGTCGTGTAAAGAAGAAAATAATTTCTTTTACAAGGATCAAGTTAAAGAAATACCTCCTGAACTTTCGCTTCCATTAAATAGGGAGAAAAAAAGTCAAATAAGGAAAATGATGATAAATTTCACGCTTCTAATCCTGATCAATATATTTCAGTATAGGAAAGTTCTAAACAAAAGTGTAGTTTCATCTTCAGGCCTAATAAATCTATGAAAAAAAAATATAAAATAGTTACCTCTAGAGACATTACTTTGTGAGCTTTCCAGTCGACGATGCCACCAAACTTACTGACCGCAGATTTAACAGAATCAATAGGCTGTGCAGTGTCGATGATACCTTTGTTCATACGCTCCAAGGTTTCAGCAGATAATGTTTTAGCTCGACTTCTTCCAACAGCCACAGGGGGGCTCCGAGTAATAATATTATTTCGATCTCCCATCTTTGAGTCATCTACTTCAGTTTTCTCACTGAAAGATGGAAAGTTGGGAGTGACTAGAGATGAATCTCCTGAGGACTGTGCTTCGTCGTTCTTTAGTTCATCCATTTCCTCTAGGACATGGCACTGAATGTTAGTATAAAGAAATTGGATATAGTTATAAAAAATAAAAAATAAAAATAAATTGGATATAAATTCGGAACATGACAAAAAAAAAAGATCGGAAACTAACAAGATACCTCAAAGTTGCATAGATGGTGCCAACTGATAGAATTATGTGTGACACAATAAATAATCTGCTATTGTCATTCGAAATGAAAAGCTCTCCCTTTTCTGGAGATAATCAAATCACGAAAAGAATACATTTCAATGTTCATTCTGAACGAACTCTTCTCTAGTATTGTGATGCTCGAATGGAATTAGTCGTTACTGACATCAGAATAAAGGTTTTATCTGCTACATATAACAGCATAATTAACGGAGACTAAATTAGTTTAATCTAATGTGTTTTTATATCCAAATAAAATATTGAACATTTTCTAACAACCAGATTTATCTGTACAAAAACTGAGAAGGGTTCATCTTGGAATCTTCAAGTATGGATGGTGTAGATTATGATTAACCTTCTACTTCTCAGTTTACATCTTCCATTTTACAGTCAAATAAGTCAATACTCATGCAAGCCTATAGTTACTTTGAGATTTTTAGCAGACGGTAGCAGGCTTCTTTAATTGTATAAACTTCCTATTTGTAATAAATATAAGAAACAAGTAATACGTAGTCATCGATTCATTAGAAACATGTGTCCTTTCAATGTGACCAAATGTTTTTTTGTTTATTTTACAAATTGACACCATCAGGAGTGTACAGATTATTTGTGAAATGTTCAGCATAAATTTCATTCAATTCTCAAAATTAAACATTTTGTTTCTCTTGGTTGTGCCTGGCCATGGAATTTTAGAAGACAGAAATGTAGATATCAGAGAAATAAGAAATCAGACGTATAACATTGTTCAGTCTAAAATTTGAAATTACGCAGGCCAGCTGAAACCATCAAATATTTCCCATTTCCTCTTTTTTCTTTCGCTTTTACAAAACTTTTGGTAAGATTGAAGACTAATAGGATTAATCAGTAATAATGTAGATATTATCCGGGAAATCAAATGCAATTAATGTGAATGAGTAGGCCTGCTTTAAAATTTGGAAACAGAATGTGCACATAATTTCCATCAAAAGAATGTGCACATAATCATGGGAAACTAATTAGATTCAATGCAACGACCAAGAAAAATATAATCATTACGATAAACAAGGCAAAGAATTAAGAACACCCAGAATCAAAAAAAATCTTGAGAAGTGCAACAGAAACAACATTTACATGCACGTTTAAGCATTGAACAAAACAAAAATAAAGAAATATAATGCAGGAACTTACTATAATTAACAAACAACACAACAAAATGCTTACTCGAGATTTTCTCCAAAGAAACAGAGAGATAACTTCAATGAAGGAGGAGAGAGGATTGGGACGGAGAGGGGAGAGGATATGGGCCCCACCCTTCAAAGGATTGGACCGGGTCTCTCTCTGCCTTCTAAATTCTATTGCCCTCGCTATTATTAGGATGTTCTCTCCCTCTCCCTCTCTCATTTCTTTTTTTTTTTTGGGTTTTTGTCCAATATTTGTGAAGAGTGGAGATGTGGACCATACAATGGATTAGGGTGAACTTGTCTCCCACCTGGATTATAGAGGAATTTTGTTGTATTTTTTTTTAAAAAAAAACCTTTTAAACCCATGTATTTATTTAGAAGGATGGACAATATTTTTGTAATAACTATTTTGTCTACGTTAGGTAAACACTTTTGGCTTTAGATAAAGAGAAAATAAACTTTGTTCTAAGGGGCTGTTTGGTTCATTTCCTAGATATAGGAAAATGCATTTCCATGTACAAAAACACAAGTTTTAAGTTTTCTAAACTTTTCCAAGAAATAGATTGTTTCGCTTTGGTTCGCATAAAAAATGATGGGAAACCAATGTATTTATTTTTCTTGTGTTTGGTTCGCATGGAAAAAAATGGAAAACTTTTATTTATATGGCAAAAAGCCGACAGTAGTTTTCGTCGATTTCACGAGGTTAAGGAAGGAATTGGAGAAGAGAAAAAAAATCTGATGTGGCGGCGATTTTCACCAAGTTTCCCTTCTTCAACCCTAGCGAACCAAAGATGGGAAAAAAAACCACCGGAAAGCTTATATCCTACGTGACCACGAAAAATCTGATGTGGATGCGGTGTAAAACTTTTCCACTGAGGGGTTGTTTGGTTCGTTTCCTTGATATAGGGAAATGCAATTCCATGTAAAGAAATACAAGTTTTGAGTTTTTCAAACTTTTTCAAGAAATAGATTGTTTTGCTTTGGTTCGCACATAAAAAATGGTGAGAAACCAATGTATTTATTATTTTTTTTTTTGGTTCACATTGAAAAAAAGGAAAACTTTTGTAAACAAAGCAGAGAAGAAAAAAATCTGACGTGGCAGAGTTTTCATCAATTTCACTCGGTTGGGGAAGGAAATCAGAGAGGGAAAAAAATCTGAGCTGGCGGCGATTTTAGCAGAGTTTTTCCTCTTCCATCCAAGCGAACCAAAGCGACACAAAGAAATGGACGGAAACAAAAAAACTGACGTGGATGGCTAAAAATCTGACGTGGAGGGGTTTTCTGAGTTTTCCACCCCTTATAATAGCGAACCAAACAGCCCCTGAGTTAAAAAACGAACCAACCAGCCCCTAAGTAAAGAAGTAAATGTTGGATAGCGGATTCCTAATCTATTTTGGTAACATGAGGTTATTAGGATTCCTAATCTATTTTGGTAATAGGTTATTAGGATTCTTAATTTGTTTTACCTTTTGGTTTAGAATTCCTAGTATGTTTATGATTTTAGGATTTCTATATATATAGAACAATTGGAAGAGAGAATTGAGAAAAAAAATTAGGGATATTTGTAGCACAGAAAAGAGGTATTTTCTGAGCTATTTGTTTAGGGTTTTGTTTGGAGAGATTAAGAGCTTGTTGGTGAGATTAGTTTGTTCCTTCGAGAGATTTGTAATCTCAGTTTATACTTTTTCTCTATTAGTGAAAACCCCATCCCCTTTCTTGCCCTGTGGACGTAGGCAATTTGCCGAACCACATAAAACTATTGTGTTTGGATTTGTGCCGCTGTTTTAATTTGTTTGGCCTTTTATCTTGACGTTTGTTTGATTTGGTTCTCGAAGCACGCCCGTTTGGTTGTCCCGCTTCCGCGCCGCGCACAACAGTAAAAGCATAAATGCAATAAGTCATAAATATTGGGTTGAATAAAAACTAAAAGATAAGTTTTCAATCGCAACTTCTCGCAAGCCATGGCTAGACCTGTAGTTATTACTAACTAGATGGCTGGAAACATGAAAAGGAGTTTGTTATGGAGGATGGTTCCTCAGAGGCATTTGAAAAAATATCAAGATATTTCAAAATTATCATGGAACCATACAAAATACATGCCAATAAAGAAGGTTATTACGACCTAAAAAAACAAAAGTAACAAGAAAAACTAGGACAAATAGCATGATAAGATCATAAAAGGGCTAAAAAATAGGCTACAGATGATGTTATATGTTGCATCGAGCGATGATCTTCTTTCTTATAGTAAGGGAGACCCATTCTATTATATATCGATCAAAGCAAAACCTGATATCTTGAGGGATATCCAACTCTGAACTAAAGAAAGATGTCAAGGTTAATTATATACATAAAACACAATGATTATTATTTTTCATTCAATTGTGATATTATACGGAATCATATGTTGGGTCATTTATTTTACTTCTCTAAGTTTCGAGTGTCTTAGTTAGATATTTTTACTTAGATAAATGCAAGACATCGCCGACAATAGGATATGATGTTTGACGAACTAGATAACTGACTAGAGCCTCTGCAAGAATGGTTCTCCTCCATTCCTTTATTAATGCTAAAGAAAGTGATATGGTAAACATTAAAATCATCTAATACAGTAATAACAATCAATAAATAAACTATATATGTTTCCGTTTACAACAATTTGGTCACGAGGAATGAATTTGACAAAAGGACAATCCTGATCTCTATCTCTACCGGCACACGGTCAAGAACCCACCAAAACAAAAACAAGGGGTAAGCGGACCGGATCCCTTTTCTACTAGTTGGAAGCCCAAGTCGCAAGGATGTCCCCGTGGCCTGATTTGCATGGAAAGTACCATATAGTCTGGGATTGTTTAAATATTCGTAAACAATTCTACAGAGACTTAAAACACCTGACAAACCCTATAAATTTGGGTTAGCTAGCTAGCAGTAATTGTTGTGTGCTTTGTGATCGACGTGGCTCTGAAAAATCATCATACATCACTTATTCTTGGATTGCTTATACACCTCTGAGATTTGGAATCTGGTGATGAACAGATCGATTGTCTTTTATGCGGAGAAGTTGTAAGCGGTCATGCTTAGTTACCTGGTATACTCGATGTTGGAAGCGGAATGCATACATGAAGCGAGTTAAGTAAGTTAATTAGCACTACCTGCATGCCACTGTTCATTCTATATGAATGGAAAGGAACAGGAGGATCTACAAAGGACAGAGGCGCACTGGACAAGAGGTGGTCGATCAGTGTAATCAAGAATGCAGTGTTTGTGAGTACTTTGCATCACCCTATTAATTTCCCATTGAATATAAAGCCTAGGTAGAGCCTTTACTTTATAATAGTTTGTATCCCAGCGTTATAATTGTAACTCTAGTGTTTGATCGTTTGAGTTTATTGTAATATATATAACTTATAACTCAAAAGATTGGCCACTTGAGTACTATGAGTAGCACGAATCATTTTGATAGTGATGGTGAGTGAATAGGATTCTGACGTTTTCCCTGAAGATGGAGTTGCTAGTCAAATTATTGATTATAAGAGCTCAAATAATTTAGTTTGGGTTAATTATCAAGTACCAGAATATCAAATTGAAAATATTATACACGGGAGGATATTTTCAAAGTTTTACATCAAGATGGGCTTTTGGCAAATACAAATCATAGAAGAAAATCGATGGAAAACTGTTCTAATTCTACCTTTCTCATTCTATACTTGGAGGCGAAGGCCGCCAGGTTTTACTCACTTTCAACAAAAATATCTAAAATTCTTAGAACAGTATCTTCATGAATGTAGAGAATTTGTTATCCTGTTACCTACTGTGATAATTCTCTTTTCAAGAAATTTTGAAGAACATTGGAAACAACTAGAAATATTCTTTCGTTATTTTAATGAAATATTAATTTTAAATATACATTTTCGATCCTTTTGCAGGAAAAAGATGACTCATCAAGCTTTAATATCACAAGCTAAAGGAAAATCTCCTTGCTTAACTCCAGCATCTCCTTCAAAAAGGACCAAATACTTTTATGATCCAGGAATAAAATATCCTGATTATATGCTTGTTAATAATCTATGGAACAACATCTACGCTCACGAAAAAAGAAAAATCGGAGTTCATATGACTCATCTAGTCAACCTTTTAAAAGAAAAGGATGAGAAATTTCTTGAACAAAACTAGCAGCTGAAAGAAAAATTTATAGATCTTTAATATGAGATTAATTATCTCTATCCTTATTCTAATAAAATTGGACTAACATCTTATGAGATGTTTCAAATCCTCGGAATACCGGAATACATTCAGCAAAATATTTGCATGGAACGCCTTAACAGAGAGCAACTATGGTCCAAACTAAATATTTTGCCTCAAGATATTCAAGATGTTATTAAGGCAAAAAGTTAAAGATGACAATATTGTCTCCCTTTAAAAGCTCACAAGGAACATACAATTCCTATAACAAGTGGCTCTCTTAGATTCGCGATAAATATTAATCATATTCCCCTTTACACCCCGCATATTGATGTTGGGCTTATCTATGAGTTACAAATTGCAAGTGAACCCCCATTTTTCTACAATCCGATGAGGCTTAAAGCCCCCCCAGCCATTGTCAAGACAGCCATCTTTTTGTCTCCAATAACTTTGGCACACCTTCAATTTAACATTACAGCTACCCTACATGAATGAAGCGGTCCTGACTATTTTTCGAGCTTACAAATTTGGGAAATCTCTACCTTCTACGAACATCATCCTTGGGGTTCATGGTTCAATGAGGAACATTATGATACTGGCTTAGATCGTTTTCAAAGTACCATCTGGTTCTACAAAAAACTTGACAATTTATTCGAGGATTATTCCTTCTTTATGACTGACGGACTTCGAATAATCTGCACAGACATTAGTATGGGAGAAACCTCACATCACAGAGCCACTAAAGCAGTCATTGATAAATGGATGACCAATCCACCTATTGGGCCAGAAACCAGAGAAGCTTACAATGTCTTTATAGGCGCAAAACAATATCAAGAGGATGTCTTCATTCAAGAAGAAGAACTCGTCTCTTCGAATAACACATCAATCGATAGCGACTTAGTCGAAGAGATAACACATAGATGGGATGATATGTGACTTAGGGTAAAATTCTGTCTAAGATAAATATCA